TTGGCCACAACCTAGAGCAGCGGTTCTCATTGTGGTCCCCGGAACCGTTAGAAATGCAGCTTGAGGGGTGCACCCCAGACCTGCTTGATGGGAGGCACAGGGATGGGGCGGAGTGGTCTCATGCTCGCTCAGGTGGGAGAACCACTGGGTTGGATGGCGAGCGAGACTTCTGGAAGCTGAGGAAGGCAAGACCCTAGAAGGAGCTGGCAAGCAAAGTCCTCTCAGGAATAGAATGGAGACTCTAGGGCCCAGACGACCCCACCTGAGAAGCCTCTGCATCTTTGTAAGAACAGAAGCACGTGACTAGGGAGACTGAAGAATGATTGAGATGTTAGAGAAATGAATACTGAGAACTGGGGCCGGAGTTCCCACTGCCGTGGTGTCTGTCTCCTGTCCTCTTCCTCTAAGGACATGTGTCATTGATTTAGGGCCCACCCTAGTCCAGGATGATCTCCTCTTGGGATCCTTACCTAAATTACATCTGCAAAGGCCCTTACTCCAAATAAGGTCACATTCTGAGGCTCTGGGTGGACACACCATTCAACCCACTGCAGCGAGTGACTCTGGAAACACTGTCACAGTGTCAGGGAGCAGTTGGGCAACATCTGACCTGAGCTTGAGGCACGGGCTCAGACAAGTGTAAGTGACCAGAGCAGGAACGAGAGGGGAGGGGCTCCTCCTTGGGGGAGGCTGGGAGTGGGGGACCCAGCAGGGAAGCCGGAGCAGACCCTGGAACAGAGTCCAGACCACTGACGTGGACCAAGGATACGGCCGAAACAACCTCTCAGACAGCAGGCTGGGGGAGGGGCTCCATCTCACCCAGGGATCCAGGCTGGCGAGGCAGGCAGCCTCCCTGTGGGGGCTCCCGTTGTCTCCTTCCCCTCAGCTTCCATTCACAATCCCCTGTCCATAATTAGGCATGTGATGACTGGCTGCAAGTGGTGCTGGGAAACGCGGCCACGTGCCAGGAAAAAGAGGGGACTGATTTGGGGCTCCTGAGCCCTGGTGGAACACAGCTTGGCTCACAGTCAGGGCTGACACCGTCGGGACCCGACTCTGTCTCCCCATGTCCAGCTCCCTCTCTCTGGGCCCCAGCTGCCCGCGTGGAAGTCATCCCATGGGTGCCTACATCTTACGATCGTACCTTCCAGGCTCCTCAGCCTGGAGGTGGGCACTGTGATCAGAGGAGTAAGAGTCAGAAACAGGCAAAGCTGCCCTGATGGAAGGACGGGACCTTTGGTGTGGGCGTTGGTGTCCCAGGTGGGCAGAGATGTCAGTGTCTACACTGCTTCCCAGGAAGCCACTATTAAGACCAGCAGCGTGGCAGAAGAGGTGGGAGATGGGGCCTTTGTGAGTCCGAGTGTGGGTTCTACCATTTTGGAACCCCCTAAAAATAGGTGAGGGTCAGCTTGAGAGGCCAAATTGTGGGGACTGAGGTCATCATGATTGGGGTGTAAAAGGAAACTTTGATGAAACCCGAAAACCACAGAGAAATTTATGCCACAAAACGTTTGAAATTTCTGCATGATAAAAACATCGTGATTGACAAGTGTCGAATGACGGCGGACTGATCAGGGAAGGCAAGTTAAAACCAGAGAGAGAGAGCACGCTGCAGACCTCCCGGTGTGACCGCATGAAGAGGGCGACAGTCCCGTCACTGGTGAGGACGCGGAGGGGCTGGGACGCTCACACGGTACCAGTGGGGGTGTAAAATGCTGCAGCCTCGTTGGAAAGCAGTTTGACAGTGTTAGAAAAAGTTAAACATACCCCTCCGACTTGACCCAGCCGTCCTGCTCCAAGGTGTTTACCCAGAGAGGTGAACACCTGTTTACGTACAGCCTTGCACTGGAATGTTCGCTGCAGCTTTATTCATTCATAGGTCCAAACTGGGACAGCCCCAAGGTCCAACCACAGGAGAATGCGACAGACTTGGTACGCTCGGACTGTGAACACCGCTCGGCAGCGAAGATGCAAGAACTCTGGATACACACAGCCACCTGGATGAGTCTCAAAATCGTTGGGCTGAGCAAAGAAGCCAGTCTATTCTGCATGATTCCATTTATATGAAACTCCGGGAAAGGCAAAACTACTCTGCAGTGACAGAAAGTGCACCCGTGGTCGTCCGGAACTCAGATGTGGTGGGAGATTGATTGAAAAGGGGCCCAAAGGAACTTTCTGGGGGCGCTGGGAATGTTCCGTACCTTGATTTTGGCAGTTGTTACATGACTGTATACATTTGTCAGAATTCATCGAATTATACATCTAAAATGAGTGCTTTTATTGTATCTAAGTCATATCTTAAAGCTGATTAAAATAACCCTACAGGACACTATTTGTCTCCTATCAGATGACAAAGGCCAAAATGATGGATAATCTCCAGCTTTGCCAAGGATGCAGAGAGACAGAAGCTCCCACGCCTGGTGGGAGTGTATGTTGGCCCACTTTTGCTGGGCAATTTGGCAATAACAATCAAAATTTGAAATATGCGTGCCTTTTCCCCCAGCAGTTTCTCTCCTGGGAATTTTATCTTCAGGACACACTTGCATAAGGGCACAAAGACAGGCGAACACAGATGTCCTTTACAGCAACATTTGTTGTGGTGAGAAACCAGAAGAACCTAAATGTCCAAGAGTAGGACGCTGGCCAAACACACATAAGCTGACCAACTGTTCCAGTTTGCCTGGGACCCTCCTGGTATTAGCACTGAAAATCCTGTGTCCTGGGAAGCCCCCGGCCCCACAAACCTGGACAGTTGGTTGCCCTGAACACATCATGTTACAGACATGTACAGGAATACTACGAAGGCATGAAAAATGACGGGTGGGTCTGCTTGTACTAATATGGAAGACGTTGGAGAGAGTAGGAAGAAGGCTAAAAAACCAACCAAGTTGCAGGTGGCATGGAGTGGTGCACACGCATGGCCTCTGGACATTGGAGTGCAGGGGGGCGCCATTTTCACTTTCTATCCCTTTGTGCCATTGGATTCATTTATTTTGCATATGTATGGATTTTATAAATTAAAAAACTCTAGAGGAAATGTGGCCTTGGCCTGCAGTCAGAGGCAGGTGGACGCAGCCTCTGAGCTACAGCCATGAGGGAGCAGGTGCAGGGTGAGGGAGGGGAGCTCCCCAAGGCCCCCTCTGCAGGGGAGGAACACCAGGAAGGGGAGGGCCCCCATCTGGGAGGCGGAGACTGTGGACTCCTGGGCGGCCTTCAGCCCTCCACTTCCTCCCCTGCAGGTGGAGCCCTCTGCAGGCCCACCTTGCCCAGGACCCACCTTCTGGAAACTGACCCTCTTGCTGCTGGCTTGGAACCCCTCGAACCCCTCGCCATTAGCGGGCAGCTCCTGGGCCTCAACTAAAACACGGCAGCCTAGGATTGTTACGCAAATTGACTGGTAGGGCCCTGAGCCCGGCTAATTCCTGTGTCTTAACGAGTGGGAAGATGAGGTTTTTATTCATCACTGGGGCTTTAAAAATTGCAGTAAAGTGGCCCACTTTAAAAAGAAAAAATCAATAGCGAAAAGAAAACAGGAGTATGTAAATGGACAGAGTGACAAAAAGCAGGCCAATTACCCCCCAAAATGAGACACAGTTATGGCTCCATTAACTCAATTATATTTTCAAAAGGATTTCTTACCCGGCCCCCACCCCACCCCAGCCCACCCCCACATGCCTGTAATTTTTACATCAACTTCAAGCCATTAAGTTGCATTAAATTATTTTGTCAGAGAGGTGTGTTTGGGAAGGGGAGCCGCGGTCCTGTCCGGCTCCACTCGGGGGCCTGGGGTAGGGGGACCCTGGTGGGTGAGCCTGGGGGAGGGGTAGCTCCAGCTTTCCGCCCTGAGAGATGGCGAGGAAGAGGCACCACGGGCTGCCCGTGTGGCCGGACCAGGAGCCGCCCGGGGGCAGCAAGACCTTCTGCACCAGGTGGTTCCCTGGCCCCAAGGTCCCCCTTTGTGTTTCTATTCCCACGTAATTCCCTGCTCCTCACCCCCCAAATGAGTGGCCTTGCACGTGTCAATCCCCACGTGGGCACCTAACCTCACTGGCTTCTTGAGTTTTCTCTTTGTCTTGTTAGAGTTAGAAAACTTAATTTTTTGGAGAAATGGAAAAATAAAGTTGTATTAAAACACACCACCCAAATTGCGGACTAACTGGGGACATATTCGCGGCCTGCTCTTCATGCAGCCCTTTGCACGCCCAGAGTCCCTACAGGTGAGGACCCTAAATGACATTGGACTATTGTTCATTCAACTGTAGATGGCTGTTCAGTTTGCCCAGAGATGCTGGGAAGGCCCTGGAAGCCCCGACACGGGCCCCGGAGCCGACCGCCAGAATTTCCCGCCTGGTTCTTAAGAACATGCCGGTCTGGAGGCTCGGTGGCTGTAACCTGCTTTTCTGCATCAGCCGACCCCAGGGAGCCGAGGCCTGCCCTACATAAGCCTGTGCCTGGGCCGCTTGGGATCCGGTGCCGAATCTGGAGGATTTCAGGTGGAGAGGAGAAAGAGGAGCGGACAGGGCTAGGGCACAGAGGGGCCACCAGACAGCATGTTACTGGCAGGATATCCTGGGGCACAGGGCCGGGTCACTGGCCAGAGAATGTGGAGCCAGCCAGTGGCAGACAAATGGGTGAGTGGACACTCTGGCCAAGCAGTGGGGTGGGGTCACCCTGAAGCACTAGCCGGGGCCCCTCCAAGGCTGGCTGGGTGAAGGCTCAAACCACAATACAGACAAAAAAACAGAAAGAATCTGCCCGTTCTGCCCTTTGGGGCAGCACACCCAGGCAGCAAGGGGCCTCACTCAGGACAGGCCAAAGAGAGGGCTGATGTGAGCCATATAGGCTGGTCCTCGGAGGTTCCCAAGGGGCTGTGGGGGAGCAGAAATGAGGGAGAAGGACGCAAAGGTAGGGAGGGGGTCCCCTCTGACCTGGAAAGGGGCTGCCCGAGGGCCACCTATGGCGGTGATGGCATCGTGGGGGAACTTGTGTGAATACTAGTCCCTCCTAGCCTCCGTCACCCACAAGCGCCCAAACTTGCTGTGCCCATGCAGCTACAAGACAAGCCCCCACCCTCCTCTGGCCCTCAGCCCCCAGTTTGAAAGTCTGGGGCAGGAGACTGACAGGGAGGGAAGGAAGGAACCACGTGGATACCTGCATGTGTGTACATGCCTGTGCATGTGTGTGTGCGTGGAAAAGGCAAGGATCCACCCCAGCTCCCTCTGCCTGCCCCCATGCCTTCCAGAGCCTGAAGCCGGGGTGGCTTGTGCTCCGGGCCCCTGTATTTGTGCAGGTGAATGGTGAGGCTGCTTGGAAATAGATCATTGCCCCCATTTAGCGTGTGGTCGTGGGTGGGATTTCAGCAACGCTAGGACAGATCCCAGGGCCAGAGAGTTGATGCCACATGGCTGAAGCCCCAGCAAGGACTGAGAGCCCAGGAGAGAGAGACACAGGCCGGCTTTGGAAGGGTGGCTGAGGGCCAAGGCCGGCAAGTGGAGGAGAGCCTGGCAATGCTGGGACCCAGAGCCTCAGCCTGGGGGCAGGGGGGTGTTGGGCTGTCTGGATGCTGTGGAAGATCCTGCAAAGAGGGCCTTGTGATGTGTGAGCTCCCCACCCCACCAGCACCAGCGCTTGCCACGCATGCCCTTTTACTGCCACCCCAGGCCCCTCAGGCTCACCAACACTCCTTGACCCTCAGGGACCCCCTATGGCCCCCAAGCCCTAAAGATAGAGTGGCTGAGCCTAGCTCTCGCTAGCTGCCCTCCATCCCCCAGGTGCCCACTATCCAAGGGGTCTGGGGGAGTAGGGGGCTCCCATGTCCCCTGGGACTGGAGCTGGTGTCTCCTTCCTGCCCTCTGGGACCTTATCAGTCATCTGCCTGCTCACTATCAGGCCGGAGGGACGGCCCACAGGCCTCCAGCCTGGCCTGCCTCTTCCAGTAAGTGGCCTCTTGCCCGTGTGCTCAAAGAGCTATTGTTCCAAAAGGGATAAAGGGGGAGGACAGGAGTCCCATCAGCTATGTCAGCTGGCCAGTCAGGGTCAGACCCAAGGGCCTGGGCTTGCCCAGACTCAGGGCAACTCCTAGGGCCAGCTGTGCCTGAGCAGCCAGCGGGGGCCCATGCCTGGAGTGAGGCCTGAATTCAGGCACCACCCCCCTGATCTCAGCTCCTCATCCCATCTCAGCCTGGGGGAGGCAGGAAGAAGAACGAGGTGCGTTTTGCCCCCAGTCGGCTGCTGCGGCATTGTCCCTCCCTGGCACTGGTCTAGGGCAAACCCTCGCCTCCCCACGGCCCCTTGGCTCTGGGGACTGGCTTCCCTGAGGCCCTCCTCTCAGTGGTTCCAGTTGCCGGGAAGTTGTCTCTGTCCACCTGCAGGGCTAGGAGTACCTGGCCAGGGGCCACAGCAACCCAATCTCTTCACGGAAAGGTGGACACGACCGGCCAGTGTGTGGGCACAGCATGCACTGCAAGACTGTCCCTCCTGGAACCCAGCTGCCCAGCCCTGCTCAGCACCCAGCCGTCCGGCCTCCGCCCTCTGTCTGCCCGTCCTTCACCCTCTTGGTCTCTCCCTGGTGTCTCTCTCTGTCTGCGGGTGTCTCTCCACCTCTGTACCCTCTTCCCACCTGCCCCCCACGGCCCATCCTCCACAGCAGTCAGTCTGCTGGAGGGACAAAGGGAATGCGCTGTCCAGAGGTCCACGGCCTTGCTGGCAGTCTCCCACGAGAGGCCTGGCCCCCGATTATCCGCTCTGTGGCCGCCCCGTGGGGGCATGCCTGCTCCCAGCGCCCTGACTGGCTCCCTGGCCTTTGTGGCCTCTGAGCTCTGCCTCCCCGGCCCCCGGGCACCTGCCTGAGAACCACGCGGGCTGCTGCTCACTCCTCCCACCCCCTGCTAGCTCGCTGGGCCTTCACTCCTGGATGGTGGGGGCTTTACACGCTTTCCAGCAGCTTGTCCTTGTGCCGGATCTGCTGGCGTCTTCGGTTCCTGCGCGAGGTTGTGGGGCGCCTCAGGGCAAAGCCCTCCCTTAATTTCTCTTGGCTTTTCCCCTCAGACAACAGTGGCCAGTCCCCCAGACAAAGGGCACAAGCTGGTGACCCTCAGGCCATGGGGGCTCTGCAGCTATGACCCAGTGGCCGGAGGGGTCAAGATGGACGGCCCAAGGCTGGGTGAGCACAGGAGTCCCCAGGAGCCATAAAAGGGGCCCCAGAGACCAGTTGCTACAGGCGAGGCTGTGGGGTGCACAGCTGAGCAGAGGCCAGGCCTGCTGGGCCAGCTCCCACAGGGCCAGAGGTGCCTCCCATCACCTCAGGAGTGGATCAAGGACAGATGCTGCCCTCTTCCTTGAGCAGGCAGCCATGGGGGCCCGGGTCAGGGGTGTCCGGGTCGCCCAGGGCTGGTCTCACCTCAGCCCAGGGCTGTGGGAATTGCAGGTGGTGGGGTCACCTTGGCAGGGTAGTGCCCTACCATGGGGACCCAGCCTGCCTGCGTGGGCTCTGCTTCCCCCCACCTACCCTAGCCACACATGCTGGCTTGTCGGCCCACACTCTTCCCAGCACAGGGCTCCTCAAGGTGAGGAGGGCGTCCTTGAGGGCTCTGGCCGGCCTACGCCAAGCAAGGTCCAGGCGCCAAGGTCACCACCAGCCCGCCCTGCAGGAAGGGGGAGGGGTGACCAGGAGGTTACCGTGTGGAGGGAGGAGAGGGCAGGGGAGGGGAAATAAAAAGAGATTACATTTTTTAAAAGGTACTCTGGCTGTCTGCTGACACCATCTCTGGTCTCCATCCGTTTTATAGCCTGACGGCTCAGGCAGCTGGACCTCGTCCGTCAGGGCGTGTGGGGGGTGGGAGTGTGGAGCCAGGCCCCCCGCCCAGGGCGGCCGGGTGGACCCGACACCTCTCCCCATGCCTGGCTTCTGCTCCAAGGCTGCTCAGGTCATGGGAGCCCTGTCCTCTGGCAGAAGAGGGGCACGCAGTGCAGGTGGGGCCCCAAGGGTGGAGGGGAACCTGGCCCCCGCCTGGCGGCCACTATCGCTGCCCATCTATCCCCCTGACAGGTCAATTTTCTCTCGTGTTTTACAGGGCCTTTCTGAGCAGGAAATGTGATCCGCCGGCTGATTGATGTCCCTACCTGGTCTTTGTCCACAAGCCTCCGCTCAGCCCCCACCCTGTGCAGGGCTGCACCTCGTCCCAGCGACAAGGCCCTGCCTGGAGGACATCTCCTCCTCCAGGGGTTCCCACCCTTGGCTCCTTCCAGAGACTGGGACTGGCTGTGCCTGAGTCCACGCTAACCTCTGAAGTGGGGGCGAGGGCCCCGTGTGGACGGCCAGCGCCATGTTTCCTGTGAAGCAGGTTGTCTGGGGGTAATTTGAATTTCCTGGCAGAGGGGCTCCTGTGGCCACACCCTCCCTACCACCTGCCCAAGTGAGGGGGGTGCCCCTCAGCAGTGCCCCTGGGGTTTGACCACCAGTGACGGTTATGTTCTTTCCCTGGTCAGTCGACTTTTGTTTCTCAAACTGAGTTCTTCCCTGATGCCATAGCTGAGTCCTCACAGCACACATGGGGACAAGGAATGAGCAGGGCACAGCTAACCCAACTGCGGGAAGGACTGGCCAGGGAGGCTCCCAGGAGGAGGAGACTGGAGCTTCGAGATGGGTGGGGAGGAAGGGCCTGCCGGACAGAGGTCAGGAAAGGCCTGGTTTCTTCAAGGTGCGGGGCTCTCGGAGGCTGGAGAACAGAGGTGGGGCCGAGAGCCCGGCAGGAGGCAGGCCGTTTGGGAAGGGGGCAGTGTAATCAGCCTTGTGCTTTAAGCGGCTGTGGTCACTCCACTGGGGGGCGGGGGATCTGATCACACAGGGCAGGGCCCCCTGACCAGCTGAGGCACCGCCTCTAAGGGACTTCCCGAGGCCCAGAGGGAGCCCCTTCCTCCCCTCCCCTGGCCCCAGGGCTCTCTTCTTCTGGCCACCCTCCCAACCAGTGAGCCGCATCCGACATTGTAGCACAAGTGTATGGAGAAACAGGGCCAGCGTCACCGGTGTGCAGCCAGGGCCGCCGCGTGGCCCCATGCTTGGAAGGGCCCCGTGGTTTAATGCTGTCTTGTAATTCTAGATAATCTTACCTTTGAACTTGCGTTTTGTGGGTGGGACAATGGAGTGTGGGCACCAGCAGGGTCCGCACCACTACATGCCACGGCCCTATTCCCACGCAGAGTCCGTGAAGGTCTGAGAGCAGAGTCTGGGAGACTCACCACGTGCTTGTGGGGGGTCAGCAGGCCCCAAAGTGAGCACAAGGTGTGTTACACACCAGGAAGCAGGGGGTTGCCCAACAGCCCCGGGGGACCTCGCTCTCCCTAGAGCCAGAAACCCCTCCAATCACAGGAAGGAAGCAGTAGCTGTAAGAAATACCACCAACAGGGAGCCCACCACGTCCTTTCTTACGGGGGTCCCGTCCCTGCGTCAGCCAAGCACTTACCCTCAAATGACGATGTGGAGGGAAGGGAGAGCCCTGGCACCCCAGCCCCTTGCCCCTTTCCCAGCTCCTCAGTTTGCTGGAGGAGAATGCAGACATTAGATAAAAACAGCTGAGTTCGTTTTGGGGCGAGTCTCTCCTGTTTTGTTAAAGCGAAATACAAGAGCATGTACCGGCTACAGAATACAAATTATGTGATTTCAGTGATTCTGCCTGTGTTTGCATCTTGAACTGGCATTGCTCAATATGAAGACGAACGGTGAGCAGCAGGGGGACAGTCTGGTGGCTGTATGGCTAAGTTCGCACGCCACTTTGGCGGCCCGGGGTTCGTGGGTTCAGATCCTGGGCACGGACCTACACACCACTCATCAGGCCTTGCTGTGGTGGCGTCCCACTTGGAGGAACCAGAATAACTTGCAACTAGGATATACAACTATGTACTGGGGCCTTGGGGAGATTCAAAAAAAAAAGGAGGAAGATTGGCAACAGATGTTAGCTCAGGGCCAATCTTCAAAAAAAAATGCTCTTAAAAAAAAGATGAACGGTAAAATGCATGCTAATAATGTAAGTTTTTCTTTACTGAGAATGACATTAAATAGCAAATAAAAAACACTGTGACAAGTTGAGAGAGCTGGGAAGAAAAGGAAAAGCTTTGTGTTTTCACTCCTTTCCTGGTGTTGTCCCCACCTTTTGAACGAGGGCCCATGCTCTCATCTTACCCCAGGCCCAGCAGGTTGTGTGACGGGTCCTGCAGATGGGGAGGGGGGTGGTCTTCCATGAGGGTTGGGGTGCGACACTAGGAAGGCCAGGCCTGGGCACCCCTGGGAGCCACCTGGAGGGGCAACTCTCTCCCACACAGCCACAAACACTGGTGACTTCAGCCCCCATCCGCTGGGAAATCGAGGTGATCTTGTGGCTCAGCCCCAGGGAGGAGCTCACCACACAAAGGGTCCCTTCCAAGACCCCCGTTGGGGGCTAGGGGCTCCAGGAAGGGTGGGGGCAGCTTCTGGCTCCATCCTGTGATGGTGTTTCCTGGAGGCTGGCGGGGTGGAGTGGGACCGATGTCTTCTCTCCTGCTTGGATCTCACCCCCACACCCCCTATCGCTCCTGGCTGCCCCCAGGGGTGCTGAGTGCTGGAGAGTTGTCTGTGGAGCGCGAGAAAGAAAATCTAGAGGGGCTGGGGCTGGACCGAGGCCTGACAGAAGGGTGTGGAGCAGTCACAGGGTGCCTGGAACCGACTACCTGCTGTACCTGGCCAGTGGCCACCCTGTTGCCTGCCTGGCGTGGAGGCAGGGGGAAGGAGGAAGGGTCTGGCCTGGGGGCTCTGAGTGGGCAGGCTGGCCAGAGCCCTGAGCCAGGGGCCATCTGTAGCTCCAGCCTCCCTGCCCAGTGGCCCTGCTGTCAGGCGCACCGTCTCTGGAACCTCAGCCTGTCCTCAGGCCCGTCCCAGGCTCCTGCCCATGGCCAGGTCAGGTGAGGCAGCGGGCGGGACCACCCTTCCCTCCAGCCAGGAGGGTGGGAAGAGCTGGAGGAGCCTGGGCCAGGAATCCAAGTCTGGGTGGCCTTTGTCATCAGCCCCAACCCCTGGCAGGCCTGGACCGGGCCATGGGCACTGGGCTTGGGACTCAGCACCTTACTAGGTTGGAAGTTCAACTCTCCTGTGTCATCCAAAAACCTTGTCTATTTTTCTGGGCCCCCAAACAGCACTAACAACACCAGCTGGCAGGACAGCGCCACATCCCGCACACACCTGCTGCTTCCCAGGTGTGGCCCGCTTCACTTCCATGACACTCGACATGGCAGGTACCGGGACCGCCCTCTCCACCCCCAGGGACAAGGGCCTGTGAGCTGCCAAGGATCCAGCAAGTGGAGGCCAGTCTTCACCTGCAGGGTCCCGGGCCCCTCGTGGGCCTCACTTGGCCCAGGCATGGGGGCGTGATTAGCACCATATTTCAGGCAAGGAAACAGAGGCTCAGACCAAGACACTTGTCTAGCCTCTGGCTGGAAGGCAGGGACTGGAACTGAACCTCAGTGGAGGCTGTGATCCTCTCAGCAGTAGCTCCTCTGAAGGTGAGATGAAGACTGAGGCGGGCATCCTCCAGCACCTGTCAGAGGCAGACCTATTCCCCACCACGCCAGGGGGCCTGAGGATTAGACACAGTCTGGGTGTGAAGCCAGAGGGTCTGGCTAGGCCCACTGTTCTCAGCCCCGTCCCCAGCCACCTGCAGACTTCCTGCCCCTGACCCCCACCTCCATGAAGGCCTCCCTCCCCCAGGCCCAGCTCCAGCCCTCTGCCCAGGGAGCAGAAGGGCCTGGTCCCCAGGGAGAGCCTGTCTTGTGACTCCCACCTGTGCTCCCTGTCTCCATCACCCCTCGGCTGTCACCAGCTCTAATTACGTAGGCTCCATCTGCCTGGGCCTCTGCACAGCTGGGGAAGCTCACAGAAGCTCTGCCCTAGGCCCGGGCATGTCGCATTCCTACATACCTCCCCGAAGCCCACTGTCCTGCCCGACTGCTGGGCCGCAAGGGTGCAGAGGGCCCCAGGGGCTGCAGCTGCTGGATGGGGGAGCCTGGATACAGCCCAACTGTGCCCCAGGACTCCCAGCTGTGTCTCCCTCATGCCCCTCTGTTGTAGCCCTGTCCCCCAGCCTTGCAAAGAGAAGTCAGTAATTTATCACTCGGGGTCTGCTGGGGCCCCCTGGAGGAGCTCTCGTGTTCTGATGGCGAGGCAAGGGAACAACTCCAGACAGGATTGTCCCCCTGAGGTGGGACCGTGTGACTTTCCGGGGTCACCTCCACCCCCTGTGGATCACAGCCTTCCCTGAAGCCTGGGCAGGGCCCATGGGCCTTGTGGTGTCTTGACAAGCCTTGTTTGGGGCAACCTGTTAGAGGAGACAAGTGACACCTGTGGTCCCTGGGGGAGAGTCTATCCTGCGGAGGTCTCTCCACTTCTGGGGCCTGGGTAGACCGGATGCAGGATGGGCAGCTCCTGCTGACGGGGCCACGTTTGACTGGGTTGGGCCGCCATGGCTGCCCCCTCCCTGCTGGAGGGTGACGCATCCATTTCTGGCTACTCCCAAAGCCTTTTGGGGGTCTCCCCCTGGCCAGCCTGGGGAGCACACACCCACTGCCAGGACACCCCTCCTTCCTCTGCCCCCATCTCCCCAGATGCAGCCTGGAGAGCAGAGTGAGGCCCCGTGCCCCCTCACTGGCCTGCCTGGCCGAGGGGCAGGAAGCAGGGTGGGCTGAGTTTGTGCTGGGGTCTCAGTCCAGCTTCAGTCCAAACTGCCGGGCTGAGGCTGGGTGGAAGGTGACCATGGGACGGACTACCTGTCCTGGGCCTGGCGTCCTGGCTTAGGGAGGACTGAGGCCCAGAGCAGGTGGAGGGAGCTGTGTTGCCCAGTGGTTAGGGGTTGGTGCCACTGGGGTCGAGTGCCAACTCTTGACCTGCTTGGTGTCAGGAGAATGAAACAAGATGGGGAACGTGCTCAGCAATGGCCCCAGCTGTTCCTGTGCCCCCAATCTGCCTCCAGCCCCAAGAGGAAGGGAGACCACCTGCGCATTTCCCGGGGACCCCCAGGGAGAGCCCACCTGCGCTGGCGCGGCAGGGAGGGTGCCTGGGACCTGTGTGTGTGGCTCCCTGTGTCCAGATATGCGACTCTGCCCCTATGTGTCCAGGCAGCTCTCCCTCCTGTCTAGAATTTTTAGAAAAGGGAAAAAAATGTAGATGAAAGCAGGTTTTCTATCTTGTTACATTCTCAACCACCCCTCAAATTATGAGATCTTAATGAGATTCAGGGGCAGTTTCCTCCTGGTGGCCAAGATTATAATCTGCAGCTTTTGTCTGAGCCCGGGACATCGCAAAGGTCACACTGTCCCTCCAGCTCAGCCTGGTTGCACAGAAGCCCCTCCTTGATGGGCCTGAGGACACACTTCCCGTTATCAGCTACTGGACAGGACCTGGCCACTCAAGGGCTCCCCATTCAGGCCAGGGAAAGGGGAGGCCCAGGTGGAGACCAGGTCTATAGAGGGCCACCTGAGACCCCCAGAACTTGCAAGTAGGCTAGCCTGGGGTTGGGTCTGGAATGGTGTGATAGTGTTCACTGTGTCCTCTTTCCCCTAAAGGGGCCTAAACCATCCCCAGGGGCCAGTCCCACAGGCATGGTGCTGGAGTCGACTGCCAGCTGGAAGACACAGACGTGCCACCCTCAGCTCAGCTCAGGGGGCAGAGGCAATGGCCCCGGGGTGCAGGGAGCTTTGGTGCCACAAAGACCTGTGCCCGAGCCTCAGCCCCACACAGAGGAGTTTTGTGGCCTTGAGCAAATTGCTCCATCTCTCTGAGCCTCAGTTTCCCTATCTGGAAAGTGGACAAGGTAACAGTTAGGGACTGCCATTGGCTGCCTCTATCAGGAAACCCAAAACAACAAAGGTCAGCGCAACTGTGCTGAGAAGGGTGGTAGGGAGGGAGGCAGGTGGGAACCCCCAGCCCCTCGGCTCTGTCCTGACCAGGTCTGTCCCTTTATGCCACCTCCCCCCTGATGTGAGGATCATCGAGGGTCATCTGGAACATCGGCCTCAGGCCCCCAGGCAGTCTAGAGGGGCCACATCCTCACACCAGTCCCCACGCTGACACCCCCACCCTCCGCCACCAAGAAAGCTCCTAAGAACACCAAGGCTACTGTGTCCCAGGAGGATGTCCCAGGCCCGAGACGCCCTCTCGTTCTAGAATTTGCTTTGGGAGAAGAAAGCCCCGCAAGGTTCTCCCCTACATCCCCCAACCCCCTGCCCCCACGAGCACGAGGGCGTTGGGGCCTCTGATCCACAGGCCCCAGGGCACGTGCGTATAGTAGGAGGCCTGGCAGGACCCTGTCCACCCACGGGACCCACTGCCCCTGGAGTCAGGGCCGAGGTGAGCAGGCAGGGGTCAGGGCCGGCTCCTCATCTTCCTACCTGCAGGAACCGGGTGAGCACCTCCTCTACACACGCTCCTGCAGCTCTCCAGGGCCAGGCTTCAGATCGGTGGTGCTGTGAGCTTGGTCCCTTGCGGTACACAGTCGGCTAGGGCAGCAAGGGGTGGCCAAGGGTGGTGAGGAGAGACGGGGCCAAGGCTGGGGAAAGGGGTGGCTGAGAAGCGCACCAGGGGACCGTTGGCCGTGGAGGCGGAAGGACAACCACAGCCACGTCAGAAGAGCAGGCACGGCCAAGGCTGCAGGAGGCCTTGCATGTGGACGAGCGGGGCACGTGTGTGTGTGTGTGTGTGTGGCAGCAGTGCGGCCTGAAACCTGGGAGCGTCCGGAATGGGCAGTATGTTACGTTCTGGGGCTGCCATGACAAAGTCCCACAAACTGGCGGACTTAGAACAACAGAAATTCATTCTCTCCGGGTTCTGGAGGCCAGAAGTCTGAGACGAGGGTGTCAGCAGGGTCGGTTCCTTCTGAGGGAGGATCTGTTCCTTGTCTCTCTTCCAGCTTCTGGGGGCTGCAGGCAATCCTTGGCATTCCTTGGCTTGTGGATGAGTCACCTGTCTCTGCAGGTGTCCTCAGTGTGTGTGTGTGTCTGTGTCCAAATCCCCCCCAATTATATTGGATCAGGGCCTGCTCTACTCCAGCGTGACCTCCTCTTAACCCATCACATCT